CGATTCATTGTTCACATGATTAAAGGTAGCAAAAACGTGTTAATGGGCACATACATTAATCTAGAGTACACTTTCTAAGAATATATGGATAACAATCAGGGGTCATTTTGTAGAAAAAGAGGTGCAGGAGCATATTAGCATAACTCATTAGCATAACTTATTTGCATATGCCACACCCCCTGACATCACCAGAAGTGTGTTAGAAGGCAACACCCACTGCAACTTACCTGGCTGCTTCTTGCTCCTCGTGGCCAGGGGCTGTTGGGAGCAGGGGGCGGGGCTTGTTGCATGTGCTCGCCCCCTGGGCTCTTTACTGCCAGAGCTCCGCTCCTGTGCGCTCCTGCAGGAAATGACCCCTGATAACAATAATCTTGCAGGGTTTTTAATTAAAAACAAAAGAGAAAAGATTTGGAGCCCTATTAAGTGGGACGGCTAGGTTACCTCATGTTACGGTACTGGAATTAAAAACCAGTTTCCATATCAAAGCTCATCTTGTGTATTTACCAGTTGGGAAATATATAATGGTCTTGGCTAAAAGCTTTTACTTTATCAATTGTGTATGTAAAACTCAGTACTGATACTTTCATGTTCTTTTAGGTTAGTTGATGTTAAGGTTTTTTGTAGAGACATGTTAGTAAATGGGAAAAAAAGATAGAAAAATTCTCTAATCATAATATAGTTGTACACACCAAAACAAATCTCAGGTCCTTGTTGCAGTTCACTTATTGTCAGGAGACTAGTAATTGGTGGGAGCTGATTGTTAGTCTCAGTGCCAACCTTTATGCTGCTTATTTTAGCAAAAGACCTTGATAGGAAGAGGCATCAAGTCTTTCATTCAAAATCTGCACAATGTCTTCTCCTTGTAGTTGAAAATGGGTATCGTGACAGACACTTTCTTCAAAACAAACTGAACTCTTCTGCAGTTATTTGCTTGGATATATTGAAATGTCAAATGGTCATTCATTGGAACTAAGGAGAAAACATGCTAACTACTTAAGTGCTGAGCAAATAATTTATAAAATTCTCTGAAATGAATTGCAGATGGATTGGATTTGGTAGGACAGGATATTCCCACAGCCAGAAGCAGAGGAAACCTAGCTTTCTCTTTAGAGCCAACCTAGTAGCCAGATTAGTTAAAGGTTTCTCCATTTTTTTCATCATGCTTAGTTGAAAATAACAGATTGCTCTCAACTGTATGAGGTTGTGTCTTTGATTAAAGTCCAGTGTATCTGTTTTAGACTATTGTTTATACGTGTGTAAAATATGTATCTTGTTAAGGTTAAATGACTTGTGCTGCGTGTAACAATTTACATTTCAGTGGAAACAGTATTTTTGTTTGTACATATCTATATTTATATAAAGTAACCAGGCTGATCATTTCTATTTTTTACTATGAAGCATCTTGATCTTTTAACAGTACAATTAAATTGTTTCCATCTCCGATTGATGAGGTTATTGAGAAAGTGTTACTTTCCCCCAAAAAACAAAGGTGTCACATTAACTTGCAGCCAATTCCACCCCTCGGGACACCTCAGTAAATGAGAGCTGCCTGCCTAGGTGTAACAAGATATATTCCAGGCCCTGATATACTACTGATGAAGAAAAGCACTGTTTAAAGGGGAGAAAAAACACTGCAAACATAACACTTTTATATGCATCTCTTTGTGTGTTGCAGTGATGTGAATATGTGTAACTAGGCTCGTAACGAATCAACTTTTTCTGTACTAGTTCATTAATTTTGTATTGAAACAGCCAAAATCCACATACACATCCTGCCTTGTTTTGCAAAGTAAGTCAGTTGATGGGTTCCTCCCCTCCCTTCAGAATCGAGCCCACCACCCTGATACACAATTTGAGAGGACTGGATCTTCAGTTACCAGAATGATGTTAAAATTGTTCTTCATGGCAGCTCCCCATAACTGCTCCCTGGATCATAGAATCATAGAGCTGGAAGGGACCTCCAGGGTTATCTAGTCCAACCCTGTGCACAATGCAGGAAATTTACAACTATCCTCTATAAGGAAGTGATTATGCAAGGAGAGTGAAAGATACATTCATGGGCATAGGTGGGATTATATGGATATGGGAAGTAATAACCACACCAGCCATCCCTTTTATATAAGAGCCAGTGTTGCGTGGTGGTTCGAGTGTCGGACTAGAATCTGGGAGATCCAGGATTGAATCTTTGCTCTTCTGTGGAAGCTTGTTGGACCAGTCATACATTCTCTGGGTGGCCTACCTCTCAGGGTTGCTGTGAGGATAAAATGGAGGAAAAGAGAAATGATGTAGAAAGTCGTGTGTAAATGGAGTTAAATAATTGCTTCTTGTTGATTGTAGTGGGACAGCACGGGATAGTTTCCTGTACTTGTCACTGTGTGATCTTTTGAATTAGTGATGAATTTTAGTTGCAGCCATCAAAACACGCACACACACGGCTTTATCAGTAATAGTTCATCCTTATTGGCAGTTTTCATACTATGGAGTGATTTAATCTCTAATCTACAAGTGAAATTGAGATGTGGCAAGTGGCCCTCATGCTTTCTTTTTAAAAAAGGATTTGTGATGACTCAGCTCTTCATATACTGCACGACGTGTTCAGTCTCTGCTAATAAGCCTCTGCATGCATCTAACCTAGTTCTAGTCACTCCTTCAGGTGATCTTGTTGGTTTTATGTGAGCCACAATCAGGGGTAATTTTGTAGAAAAAGAGGTGCAGGAGCTCATTAGCATAACTCATTCACATCACTTATTTGCATATGCCACACCCCCTGACGTCACCGGAAGTGTGTCAGAAGGCAACACCCACCGCTCAGGCTCCACTGGACTGTTTTGGATTGCTAGCTATCGGGGGGGGAGGGAGTGCAGATCTGTCCTCACAGAGGAGAGAGAGCTTGTACCTGAATAAAACCTGGTCTTAAAGGTGCCGCTGGGCTGGGGGGGGGGCTCTGCAACTTACCTGACTGCTTCTTGCTCTGACTGAGGGCTGCTGGGAGCAGGGGGCGGGGCTTGTTGCATGTGCCCGCCCCCTGGGCTCTTTAGTGCCGGAGCTCCGCTCCTGTGCGCTCCTGCAGGAAATGACCCCTGGCCACAATCAGTCTGTGGGTTGGATCTCACCACCCACCTCACTTGTAAGAATGGAGGCTTGCTGAGCTTGGTCTCTGAAGGCTTTCAGTAGGCAGGTTTGTACAGAAAAAAAAAACATTGCTTGCAGCTCTGCTGATCCAAAACCCAAAGCCAAGCACAACCCACATACTGCCTCTTACTGGGATCAACCAAGAGGATACCAAACATTGTGCAAGTTTTCAAGTTCTCCATAATGCGTTGTGAAGCTGAATGTTACAAAGTTTTTTTTAGAAGTGCCGCCAACACCTTGAAATATGGTATGACTTTACTATCTTCTGGTTTCAACTAGCTTTTGGCCTACCAAGGCTGCATGTAAGAGAGGTCACCCAACAGGCTAGTAGCCTCACCAACAGGCTAGTAGCCTCACTCAGCGGCAGCTCTCTTTTCAGTGCTAACAGGGCCACAGGGCAGAGATGGTGTTTTCTGAGGAATGCTATTGACCAACAGAGAGAGAGCCCCCCAAAGGCAACTATGAAGCTATGGCATGAATGATTAAAGGTGCCGCATCTTCCCCTTTAATGGCTAAAGAAGTGCTTATGTGGATGTAGAATCAGCAGTCATGAGTATTAAGGTTGTCTGGGCCTCTGTTTCCATGGCTGGCACCAGGTTTGATGATGTGATGCTGTCCTGCCAGGCCATGGTGACTGGATGAATGAATGTGGTAACTCTGCATCTTCTGTGGTTCTTCTGTGGTGATGTAGTCATTCTCCCTCAGCAACTTCAGCAGCTGGACAGCAACTGCCCACATCCAGGTGGGCTTTTAGTTACCTCAAGAAACATGCAAACCCTGCCCAGATTTAGACCTGTCCATAGGGTACTTTGTGGCCCAAAAGCAAGGAGGCTTTCAATTAGAACCCAACCATTAAGGCTGCATCCATCCTCTTCTTCCACGAGAGGTGATAAGCCAGATGATAAACATTCAAGGTCAACAATAATGCAAACCGCTCTGTTGATGGATGCCTACGGTCCTTTTCACCAGCAGTGGGCTGAGTCCTTCTCAGACCTTTGGGCGAGAGGCTCGGTAACCAGAGGACATCTCACATCGTCATCAGCTAACATTAAGGTAAGACTCCCAACAAACATCTAACACCAGCTGGACAGCTGGGAGTTGGAGCAGGTGCCATCACCTTTGGCAGGGGCTTTAGCACAGTGGTGGAGCATGTACTCTTGTGTGGAACAGATGTAGTATAATACCAAAATAACAAAAACTACTTAGCGGATCCTGGACTTTTGGCTTGTGGCAGAGGCCAGAGGTGACATTCCCTTCACATCTACCGTCCCTAGATACCTGGCAGTTGAGTGGAGTGTTCTTGTTGGCAAATTCTCTGTGGTTCTTCCTGCTGTGGCCAATGGCTAGGCCTTCAGTCTTCTCCTAGAGATGGTGATGTTCCTGGGAAGGGAGGGGTACAATCTCCCAGTGCCTCTTGGACCTCTGGACAGTGGATTAAGCTAGTGTCTGCATGTCTATAGTCCTTGAGCTGTTGAAGAGATAGGGAGAGCAGGATTCAAACTGTTGTCTTGGCAGCTGCATCAGTTTGTGAGAGGGATGTTTCCTGAACAGTTCACATTCTGATTTCTGTTTCCTGATAGGGACTAGTGAGGGAGGGAGATTGCAGCCAGTTAAATATTTCCATCCATCACCTAATTTCATTTCCAAGTCTGGTTTAAGGGGAGAACAGATGGTAAAGATTGTCCTGTTTACATTGAGAGTGATAAATTTTGGAATAGGAACACAGGTAAGGAATGCTAGACATATGACTCTGTCTGTCAGGAGAAACTCCTAAGAGTCATTGGTGGCAGTCAGTGGGTACCCATTTTGTAACTGGCATCCTTGGGGAGTGAGGGGAAAAGGTTTGCCGCCAAGTATAGAGGCTCGAGATGGCCATGAGATTCTTCCAACCCCCCCAGGGGCCCAATCAGAAGGAACAGGTAAGGGCTTGTGGATCTGTTCTGTCACAAGTTCAGTATTATTTCATCGATAAGAAACAAGTATTGTGACTATTTCAGGTTTTGGCAGAATTTCCATTTTTTACATCTCTGCTTGGAATCCCATCATTCCAGTCAGGAAGTAGGGATGGTAGACGTTTGATTGCTGTGGGGAGGAGGACTTCCCAGTTCCCAGTTCCTGCAGTGTTAGGGGTAGTTAGCAGCTATGACTGGGGTTCAGTGGTTGCTCCAAGCAAGCATGTTTAGAACAAGATCAGGAACAAGCCCAGTGCTTTCTCTCTCTCTCTTCAAGTTTGTTTTGTTTTGAAGAATTTTCTACCTCAACCCAGTAATTGGTGTAGGATACAGCATAGTCTCTCATTAGACTGTACCTTAGTGACCTTTTACTGCAATAGTGTTATTATTAATATAAACAAGCTCAAATGGACGAATACATCAACACGTCTTGTTAATTAAAAAGCCGATGGGGAGACTCACCTACTAATGAATTTATTCCCATTTACACTGATTAACAAGCAACCCCAACCAACAAACCTAACAAGTTGTGAAGGGTTATCATTAATAATTTTTGATAAAAAACTTAAAACTGAAAAAATCTGGTCTTGATGCATTTCCTGTGGGAACTACTGAAGGTAGCTCCTGATTTCACCCATATTTATACTGATAAATAAGGATGGAATCATTCCAGCTTCATGGAGAACATTGCTGGTCGCTCCTATATATAGGAGCTGCGGTGGCTCAAGTGGCTAAGACGCTGAACTGCAGGCTGTGGAAGGTCGGTAGTTCAGCAGTTCGAGACCCGGGTGCGCCGCATGACGGAGTGAGCTCCCATCTCTAGTTCCAGCTCCTGCCAACCTAGCAGTTCGAAAGCAAGAAATTGCAAGTAGATAAAGAGGGCCCGGTTCGGTGGGAAAGGAACAGCGTTCCGTGCGCCTTGGTGTTTAGTCATGCCGGCCACATGACCACGGAAACGTCTTCGGACAGCGCTGGCTCTTCGGCTTTGAAACGGAGATGAGCACCGCAACCCTAGAGTCGGATTCGACTGGCTTTCGAGCAAGGGAAGCCTTTACTTTTACCTATATATAAAAGAGGTGACAAAGCCGACCCAGGTAACTACCGACCGATTAGCCTTCTAGCAGTGATCGGCAAACTTTACGCATTTTATCCGCAGTGCTGGATAGATGAGGAAAAGATACTAGGCAATGAAGATGCAGGCTTCAGAAAGGGTTACTCTTGTGTGGATCACTGCTTTACGCTGGCCTTGTTGATAAGCAAATATGCACTAGGCGCACTTGGCTCCTTATATGCAGCCTTCATTGATTTAAGGATTTCAATTCTTTTTGGATTTACGGGCTGCCTTTGACTCTGTGTCACATGCACGCCTATGGAACAAGCTAAATGCTGAAAGCTTGCCCCAAAACATCGTTAAAGTTAATAATGAATCTTAAATGAATACATGAATCAGAGGTTAAGATGCTGAAGAGGCAGACTGGAAGGTCTGTAGCTCAACACTTTGAGACCCGAGTGCCGCGTGATGGAGTGAGCTCCCGTCTCTGGCCCCAGCTCCTGCCATCCTAGCAGTTCAAAAGCAAGAAATTGCAAGTAGATAAATAGGTACCACTTTGGTAGGAAGGTAACAGTGTTCAGTGCACCTCTGCATTTAGTCACGGCGGCCACATGACCGCAGAAATGTCTTCAGACAGCGCTGGCTCCTCGGCTTGGAAATGGAGATGAGCACCACCCCCTAGAGTCGAATTCGAGTCATTTTCGAGCAAGGGAAACCTTTACCTTTTCCCTTTATTCTGAAAACTCACTGTGTGTCAAACTAAACAATGAGGGACGTGTTTGTCAAGGATGTGTTCTTGTACCACATCTATTCAATTTATATTTAAATGACTTTGTCCCATTTACTCATGCACTGAGTTTGGAAAACTGACCAGTGCCTGCCCTACTGCGTGCCGATGATCTTGCCTTTTTATTGAGAACTCAGATTGGCCTAAAACACACCATTAAAGCATTTATTGCCTATTGCAACAATGAGCTATTGGAGATATACAGAATAGATTGTAAGTATGTGGAAAAGAAATAAGAAAAGATAGAGAAGAAGCAGAAAGACAGAAAATTGAGCTTTCCGGAGCGACTATCAAGCAACATTTGTAGAAAGAGGAGATGATAAAACTAAGGACTAGATGGGTAGAAATGGACTTTGAAGAAAGAAAATAAATTTAAAGTTCTGAGGAAAGCCAGAAGAATTAGATTCAGGGTGTGAAATAGGAGTAGAATTAACATATAGCATAAACTCAAGCTTTGCTAGAAGAAAGAAATTCATAAGGTGCTCAGAAGAAAGATTGATATATAAATACTTCATATAAATAAAGTAAAGGGAAATATTGGTTAAAGTTATTAGCCTGAGAGTCAACAACACAATGTTGTACATAATTTGGAATGGAAAGATCATATTAATTCAGGGCCAAAGATAGAATTGGATCTCTATCTGGAAATTTTGAAATGCTGCTGAAATCTGAATGTAATGATTTAAAGTTTTAAGTGTGTGTGTTTTTAAATATTTGGTAAGTTGAACAAGGGAGGTGAAAGAGGGGGATGAGTGAGTGAGGTGATTGGTTGGTGACTGAGAGTTTATGGGCGCAGCTAAGAAGTGTGTGAGTGTGGAGAGAGAGAAGTCAGTCAGCACTTAACAGTCAGCCATGGTCAGTCTGCAGTCTATAGAGTCTGAAAAAGCAGTCTTCTGATTAGAACCCCATATAGTGCTGTGAAAAGTATTAGGATTCTAGGGAAGGAAAGTAGAATATTTATAGAGGGCATATTAGTGACGAGAGAGTCAGATCCTAATATTGTCAAAGTATTATAAGAGTGTGTAAAAACACAAAGTAACTTAGGTTCATTTTTAGCCTAGTAAGTTTTAGGTTGTTAGAACTAATTTTATATATTGGTAGTTAATAAGACTGAATTTACATTTCAATGTCCCTTTTGTTTAGTATGTTTGTTGTTCAATAAAATAAAAATAAAATTTCAGAAATAAGAGTGTGTAAAAAAGAAGCTGACAGAAACCTGAGATAAAAGAAAGGGAAAG